TATATTAAACAATCCGTAAAATTAACAGAATACTTGTTGATAACAAGTTACATTCACATTAATTTAGTTGTTTACTCTAATACTGAGTACAGAGTAATATTATAACAATAAATTACCCTATATAATTTATAAATATTATGGTATAATCGATGTATTGGAAATAATTAAAATAGAATAATATAATTGTGAATTAATTCAGTTAAATCAAATTTATTACAATATAATCAGCCATGTTATGAGTTCAAAAAGTGAATATGATTTGAGGTTATATTTTTCATTAAATTATGATTTTATATTCGTTTAAATAATATTAATATTGGAATATAAAATTTATTCAATTACTCTATCATATCTATAACAAAAAATAATAGTAATTCTCAATGAATTTTAGTATCATTTATTAAATGTTATAAATTTAACTTTTTAAGAGATTATAAATGCTTTTACATCTATTCAAATTAATATTGTTTTTGTATAAATTGTTTTAAACTTAAATTTTCTAAAACTAAAATGTTCTGATTTTTAATTTATAAAAATTAATTATAAAAATATAATATTTTAGACATGAAAATTAGTTTATTATCTTAAAATAATATTCTATACTTATTTAAATGCATGCAATATAAGATAATTTTTAAATCAATAAATCAATAAGAATTTACATTATATATTTATTAACTAAAAATAAAATTAGATAATATTAGAAATTAGTTCATTTATAAAATATAAGCTACAATTTAATAAAACACATTAATGTGTGTTGAGATGCAATACTATGAGTGCATCAATAGGCAGAATACCTCATCTGTTGGTGAATAACACTATTGTTATCGAGCAGTAGAGGTGGCAAAGGAGTTGTAGCCGTCGGTCCGCTTAATATCTCTGTACTTCTTCGGGGATCAAATGAATTGCTTGTTTGAACTGATGTTGTATTGAAGTTATTGTTGTGCTGGTGGTAAGCGGGCAGAGGGGAGGCATTGCCACAACTAATTCACATTTTTATGTAAAATTTTCAATCATTATTTGTAATGACTATCACAATAAGATTATTAACTTATAATTATAACTGTATTGTTCATTTAATGTGATGGTAACCATTATAAAATGACTACAAATTACAGAGAAGCAGTTTAACCTAGGCTATTTAAAAGTAGAGTATATTTATATTACTAGTAGTTTATAGACATTATTCTTATTGTAAAGATTCAATCTTGATTACTTATGAACGTGAGAAATTCAATATAACATTAAATAATAAATACCTGTATTGGGTCTGAAGATTAGCAAAATTGATCCCGGTCCAATGCGGGAAGTCATTAGAAGGGTTGGACACATTACAAGTGCCATAATTTTGGAAGTAATGTTTGGTTTGATCGCTTTGAAAGGGAGATATATTGGGCGCAATCATAGCACCCGATGTTGTCATGTCATAGAATCGGTGCCGCGAATAGGAATTCATATTTGAGGCCGAATTGAGAAATGATTTGCTCGACTCATACGGAGATGTTCTGAACAATCAGTAATAAACTTCAAGTTATTATTTTATTTTATATAAATATTACGGTAGTGTTGATCAATATAAGATACAGTATATTATATGATATTTATAGACTTCTAATAGTTTTAAGTAAATTACTTTAAATTAAGTTTCAAACTTTTGCATAAATTCTTTTTATAATAAAGCTTCAAATTATTCAGAATTTAGTTATATATTCTGTTTCCACTGGTTTACTGGGGATTTAGGTAATTTATTAAATAAATTTCCTATTTTTTAATTTATAATTTAATGTTGCACTATTTTTGAGTCTTAAATTGACTTAATCAATATAATTTTAAATTATTCATCATTAAACTATATAAACTTAAATATAGACAAATCAAGATTTATATTTGTTCTAATTACAAAATGTTCTAGATTATATTTAAATTTAAGTATTAATTTAATTAAAAACATTTAGAATATATTTTTATGATCACACTAATTGTAAGCTTAGACCGTAATACAGGACTAATTGTATAGGCAAGATGTAAATTAAAAAGTAATTATATTATAGAATGTGTTCTATATAACTAAAGTGGAATAAAGGGTAAACAATTAAAATAATTTATATATCTAATAAAGCAAAACGATTTAAGTATGGGAAAAAGATCTTTAAACTTAAGTTTTCAACTTTACACGTAAGATATATTGGAAAATAAAAATTAAAGATTTTTTGCAAGACTCCTATGGTTCTGCCAAAGCAGATATACATTATAGACAATATAATTAACATTGTTTGATGCATTACACTTTAATGATTAATGTATATTGACCAAAAAGCTAAAAAGATTCCTTATTTATAAGTCTTATTTAACAAAATAAAACAAAAAAGTTAATAAAAGTATTTATTAAAAATCCACTGCAATAACCGACTATATTTGATATCATATCATACATTTTACGGTAATTATTTTTTGCAAAATAATATATTGAAATTTTATTCTATAGACAATAGTTACTTTATTAAATATAAAGTACACTAATGAAAAATGAAAGTCAATTTAAAGCTTGAATTCCAGTCTAGTCTAGACTTAGTCATTGCCATTAAGAGATAAAAAACGATATTAAAACAATCCGATAGTTTGCTTATATTAGTATAAAGTAGTCTATAATGTATAAGAATATGTAATACCGGTTACGTTTGATCTTTTTCCTCCTCTTATAATTTCCGTCGACAAACATGTCTTCATAGTTGGGATGAAGTGCCCAATAATTGCCTTTCCTTTCATTAGTTGTAGATATTTCTCGAGGAATTTTCATAAAGCATTCGTTAAGACTTAAATTATGTCTAATGCTGTTTTGCCAGCCTTTGTCCCCTTTCTTGAAATACGGGAACTTTTTGTAGATATACTCATAAATGCCGGCTAATGGGAGTCGCTTTTCATTGGATTCTTTGATAGCCATCGTAATCAAAGCCACATAAGAATACTGTGGCTTTGATTTGGGATCCATTGCAGTGATTTGGTCCACACTCTCTTCAGGCGAACCATTGACACTTAAATTCTCGCATTTACTCTCATTTTTAACAATCATTTTGGTTAAATTTGAATTTAATGTTTGTGATTGAGTTGTATATATATCCAAATCTTCTGTGCCTACAATTTAAATGATTTGTATAATAAATATTTTGCGTTTATTTGATAATATTTACTAAATATTTATCTATATTATTCATGTTTGCAAAACTAATAAAAATAATTATTTACAAAATTTATACAACAAAACACCAATTTGATACAAATGATGAAAATTAAAAAATAAATAAATGCTGTTAATTACTGTTATTGTATTTCGAGTATACGGTATTATACAAAATCAATTTGTATTTCATATAAACATTTATAGGTTAAGTACCTTAAGAATAATAAAAGCATATTTAATTATTAAATATGAAAAATAAGTTGAAAATTACTAAATTATTAAAACATTATAATTTAACAATTAAATTATTAATAAATTGAAAGCTTTTAAAGAAAATAAGATTTTTTGAGTAACAGATATTTAAACTTACATTCAGTTTTGATAGGAATGGTATCATCTAAAAGATTGGATACTTTAGGAAACTTATTGTCTATGTCTTCCATTATTTATATTAAATGAATGACTGGTCTTAAAGAACTTGAAACAAACCAAACACTTTGATATAATAAAATACAATGAAATACAAACACCAGAATAATAACAGTCTCTTGTGTTCAATAAGAGTCAGAATCCATCTGTCGGTTTGTGTCAATCATAACTGTTTGATAAAAATATCATTTGTCTTTATCTCATGTGTTGGATCACATTATAATATATATTAATTATGACTGAGTTTTACATAAATGGGTGGTTTGTTCGGCATATGATATGTTTGTTGAATAAGTATTTTATAAACAAACCTCACTATTCGTGTTGCAAATCAAAACAAGCCATTCAAATGAATTTATTGGTCTAATCTTTTACTTAATTATGAAAACGGTTGCCGTTATTATACAAAACCATTTATAGCGCATCTTTGCAATGGCAAAAGATTTGGAGGCTAAGCATCCAGTGAATGACATCCAGGTGCACATCCAACTATATGTCATTTTCATGCATTTCACATCAATTCACGCATTTTCATCGAGAATTTTTTAATTATAGACAAACCATTCTAGAATTGTAACTAGAACAATCAAATAAAACTAATAAAAGTATAGAAATATCTAGATTCTAGATTAAAGCATTCGCTTGCTTACAGTTGATAAATATCATGTATATTTCAAATATCTCAATGTTTGAAAAATTAAAATTATAGGTCACTTATAGATTCATATAATGAATATTATCTGCATATAATATTTAATGTTTAGAGCAAACTATTAGTGTAATAAAAGTGTAAACCGATAGCACACGAATTGCAAAGTGTTAATACTTGTCATTACATTCGCTGTACAAATGTATAAAATTACTGCATTTGGAAGCTTTACAACTATTTCTCTCCTGTTTACATATCAGATAATCATTATATAATTTCTCTCTCTCTCTCTCTCTCTCTCTCCTTCCCTCTCTCCCACTGTATATCTCATTTGTTTATATAATATACCGCTCTCACAGTCATAAACGCGTCCTTTAATCCCATTACACTCTCTATAAAATTCAAAGCAGAAAATTGTCATTTTTTCACTGTTATTAATGACAAACACATTAAACCTAGAATTTATAGTTTTATTTTATAGATGTTAATGAAAATTTAAATAATGTGTACCTATAGACATTGATTGTCAATTGTCAATTCTGAACCGTTTACTGTATTCCAAACATTGAACAGTTATTTTCTTAATTAAGTTATCATCAAATAAAACACAAATCTTAACGTTTGTTCTTTTCATAAAACTAATAGAATTTTTAAAAATATCTTTCATTCAGTGTATGTCATTATCAAACATTTTTTTATCACAGAATATTTATTGAGCAAGCTATATTTATATAGCAAGAATATTTATTGTGTAATACAAAACTAAGCTAACAAGTAAGGATATTGTACTTACAAGTTAGATTAAAAACTAAAATTTAAACTAAAAACTATGTACTGTACTGTACTATAATTCTTTCTTATTATAACAATTTCCCATTCTTTATGAGTTACATAAAATTGCCTTGGTATACAATAAAGTATAGACTAAATTCTGAACGTTTAGAAAGTGAATATAGTGAACATTTCATAAAACTATGCTGCACGTTTAAGAGTTAGCTCTCTACACTTGTAGTGAATGTTTATTGTACAGTAGTTTAACATTTAGAAATTGAACAGTATGCTTAAACAGTAAGTTTTAAATTTGGCAAAATTTTGGCTCACGAACAGGTTTATATGGTTCCCATCGAGTATGTCTTTATTTTTACTCAAACCCTATTCACCACATTTCATATCAATTTCTATAACCATTTACGCAATTCACTTTAAACTAATTCATAACATGGGTTTCCATTCAATGGCATCAAAGTAATTAAACCATTTTAAAAATATAATATTTATTATAACATGTTCTAAATATTAATTTTGTTTATTTAATAATAAAAACATACGACAAAACGTTATTTAATTATACAATAATTACTTGAATAGTAAATATTCTCTCAAACATAATAAATAAATATATTTTTAATCTAGTACATATTACTAGTACATGTATAATATCTTAGTGTGCATGTATAATATCTAATTTTATCATTACAGTAAATTATTTAAAAGTTTGAATAAATATGTGATAACTTTTTAAAAGTACTAAAAACAAGTTGTCATTAGTATTATACTGTATTCAACTTATTTACGCGAAACTTTATTGAATGTCATTTTATTTATTCATGCTATTTTAAGAAACAAATTGAATCACTTCATACATTATTTAGCCTACAATGTTGTGATTCACATGTCTTTTGTATTATTGTTAGACTATTCGAAGTCAACAATTCATTTCTATTGAGAAATAATTAATAATTTATTAAATATTAAAGTAAACATTAATTTAAAATATCGGCTAAAATGTCTAAAAGGCTGCCATTCTTGAGATCTTGTCTTGAGGAATGTGATCCACCCATTAAAACAGAGGTTAAAGGTTTGTATAAATTAGACATATCTATCTATTTATGATATATTGATACTGTATATTGTCTAAAAATCAAGTTAATAAATAATTAATATTTGTTTTAAAAAGTTGTAGACTTATAATGGAAAAATAATTTATATGATATACCAGTACTCATGATTATAAACTATGACTTAATGTGTATTATGACAATTTAAGGTGTGATCCCAGTGTGGCTGAAGGGCACTCTTTTACGCAATGGTCCCGGTCTTCAAGAAGTGGGAACCGATAAATACAATCATATGTTCGACGGCTTAGCGCTTATGCATAGGTTTCATATAAACAATGGTGAAGTTTCATATCAAAACAAATTCCTCCGGAGTGACGCTTATCTCAGGAATCTGAAGGCCCAGAGGATAGTGGTGTCTGAGTTTGGCACCACTGCATACCCTGACCCGTGCCAAACCATTTGGCGCCGATTCATGTCTCACTTCTGGACCAGTCCTGAAATGACAGACAATGATAGCGTGAATATATATCCAGTGGGCGACCAGTTATATGCGGCCACAGAAACCAAATTTATTCGACGCATTGATGGCAACACTTTGGCCACTCATGAGAAGGTGGATCTGTCCAAATACTTGACCGTTAATACGGCGACAGCGCACCCGCACGTCCACACCGACGGCTCCGTCTATAATATGGGCTCAAGTTTTGGCCCAAAAGGAAAGTATCATTTGATAAGAATTCCCAACGAAGACAACGCTTTTGAGAACTCATCGATTGTTTGCTCGATTCCGATGGACAGACCCTTTCATCCCTCCTATTACCACAGTTTCTCCATTTCCAGTAATTACTACATATTCATTGAGCAGCCGTTAGTGTTATCGGTGCCCACTATTGCTATGACTCCCATAACCGGAAAACCGTTTGCCGAGTGCCTCGTTTGGAAGCCTGAACTCATGGTATGATTCTCATGAGATTCATGGGTTTTAAATATAATACAATATTTATATAATCCATATATAGACCAGATTTCATATAATTGAGAGAACAAGTGGCAAATTAATTAATACTAAATATATGGCCCAATCCTTTGCTTTCTTCCACACTATCAATGCCTTCGAAGACAATAACCAATTGGTTGTTGATATTTGTTGCTATCCGGACGGACAGATCATATCTACATTAAATATACAGAATATGACAGATATGTACGAAAATCATAAAAAGTTTGACACCAAGAGTGAAGTGAGACGTTTTGTACTCCCATTAGTGCATCAAATGACAGATGTATTCATTGAATTATTGTCTAAAATATTGTTTAAGTTTATGTATTGTTTGTGTGACTTATAGGTGAAAGCCGATACAAATCTCGTAAACTTGGAGTACACTAAAGCCAGTGCTTCTCTAAAGGCTGACAAGTCTGTACAGTTAAACTACGAACCTCTAACTCCTTCGGGTATTTAATATAACTTTTAAACATTTATTTAATTAACAAATGATTAAATTAAAGGTCCTTGGATGGGTGAATTACCACGAATTAACTATAAATTCAATGGACATAAGTATCGATATTTTTATTCTTTAATGCAAACTGAAGACTACAAAACTAAATTAGTAAATATATAAGATTATATAATTTTTATAATTAGTACAAATGTTTGTCATACATTTACCTTAATATTACTTTTAGCTTAAATTTGATACAAAAACTAAAGAATCTGTGGTTTGGTCTGAAGACAATACCTTTCCATCTGAACCGGTTTTTATCGAGAATCCGGACATTAATTATTCGGATGAAAATAATGAAGATGAAGGTATATTACAGTGTATTTGTACTATTCAGATATAGTTAATGTAAAATTTTTAAAACAATTGAAATTTTATTTATTACCCGTAATTTAGAAAATGATATAAATTATTAATGAATTAATTATTAGTTATAATGTTTGATTTGTTTAAAAGGTGTGATCCTGTCATCAGTTCTGTCAGAGTCTGACGAAACGAAAGGATTCTTATTGATATTAAATGCGAAAACTATGCAAGAATTGGGTCGGGCACAGTTTTCTACCAAATCTTCCATTCCGGGATCTTTTCATGGATTATTTGTTAAATAATTATTTTACTATTTTCTGGTTATCATCTGTTTGCTTTAATTAGTCTGTATCTAACTATAACTATAATCAATCTTAGCTAACTTTATTGTTTGTTAAATTTAAATTTTATAAAACGTAACAAATATTATAATTTTTTGGAGTGATGCTTGTATAGCTGTAAAATTTATCAAAATAAATAAATGAATGATACGGTACATGTATATTGATTTAAATAGTAAAATATTAAAATGCTTCTAATTTAAATTAAAACATAATTATCAACAATTTAAGAATCTTATATTATTCAGTATATTATTGTCATTTGAAGTTTAACAGAATAATGCAATGGAAATATATTACCGGTATATAATTTGGTACAGTACAGTAAGTTATATCGTATTTGATAAAATTGACAAATATTTATTTTATAAGATTAGTCATTAAACGCAATGGAAAGATAAGTCTTAACAATTAAAACAGCATTACAATCGTAAAATTTAATATAATTTAAAATTGATACAAATTTATTTTATGGTATTTAAGCTCAGTTTTTGGTTTCTGTTATTTTTTTCGAAAAATTAAAAAATTTTTGTCCTTCAAGTGTGGAAAAACTTGAAGGTCTAGTCACGAAATTTTGTACCAGAGTTTCTAAGATAAGAAGTAAAAACTTGTTTAAAAAACATACCAAATACTTTTGATTCCAGTCATTTATCTTGTTCTGAAGTATTGGATTCATTAATCGATTGCAGTATAATATTTATTAAGATTTATTTAAATTCATATGTTATTTAAATTCTATTTAATAATCATGAGTATAATTCTTATTTAGAGACATTTTAAATATTGTTTAATTATTTGTGAATTTAGTAAACCTATTCAAAAATCATGGGTTTATTATTAAAGTGGAGTAAAGATTTAATTCTAAAATTAAATAAGAATACTATTTGTGGGAGTCATCACAAAAGATGGTTATCATTGGGAATAGTTGGTGCGCCGACATCCGTGGGTCAGTGCAAGTCTGGAGTAGAACTGGGACCAAATGCTCTCCGAGCCGCCGGTCTTATTAAACAACTCCAACATTTGGGTCATAATGTGGTCGATTTTGGAGACATTCCTCATCAGAGTATAAATACAAATCAGAATTCAGTGAATAATAAACTTAAAAATGTGTCGGAAGTGCAAGAGATGTGTTCACAACTTTACAGTTTAGTTGAGAAAGTGGTTCTGGATAAGAGAATCCCAATAACATTGGGAGGGGATCACAGTATAGCCATGGCTTCTATTAGTGGTAATGCGGGTGTTGTGCCAAATGACGAGTTATGTGTGGTTTGGGTGGACGCACACGCGGACATCAATACAGTGGCGACCACCAGGACGGGTCACTTTCACGGAATGCCCGCCTCTTTTCTCATCAATCAGATCCAACACCACTTCAATAACCCTAACAATAATTGTATTCAAGTAAAGCCATGTATTAAAGCAAATAATATTGCATTCATAGGATTGCGAGACGTCGAGTCGAGTGAAGTGAATATAATGAATACATTAAATATAAGTCATTTCACAACCCATGACATCGACAGACTAGGAATTTATGAAGTGATTGCCAGAACTTTGGACAAAATTAATCCAAAACTAGATAAAAGAATACACGTTAGCTTTGATGTGGACGCCATCGACCAAATGATAGCTCCGAGCACTGGTACTCCAGTACCGGGAGGACTCACTCTGAGGGAGGCCTTTTGTATTGGAGAAGAGATTTTTAAGACAAATCAATTATGTGGTCTTGATTTGGTTGAAGTGAATCCTAAGATTGGGAATCAACATGAAGTTAAAATGACAATAGACTGTGCCATCAATGTTATCCTTTCGTTTTTAGGCAAATCCAGAATCAGTAATTTTGTTAAATCATAAAAATTGACTTTGGGTTAAATTTTAGTAATTAATATTAGGATGACAACAGCTAATCATTTAATAGATATATGATAGAACCAGATCAGTCTTATTTTAAAAGACAGTCACTTAGATACTGTAATCTTATTGTAATCATATCAGTATTTTTATAAATTTTAATTAAATCTAATCTTGAATGAATGAAATATTGTAATTAAAATAAATTGTAAGCTAAAGCCTTAAAAATAAATTGAGTTTGTATTTTCTGAATTTTACATTACTCAATATTATACAATATGTTAATCACTGTTATCATTAGTGTATCCCATCTGAAATAAACTTTAAGAAACTTTATACCGCACTACAGAACTTAAATTGATGTGGATCATATGAAACACGAAAGGAAAGCAATGTTATGCAAACATTTCATCATTTTTGGTCAGAAATAGAGATTCTTATCAGAAGAATGAAATAAAGTCAATATTTAAGAAATAAAATCTCAATATTTATTTAATATTAAAAATCAATTGAAAAGATTGTTATATTAATTCCAATAATAACTAAATTTATTCAAATAAATAGAAATTTGATGACAAGAAGTGAACGAA